CTTCTTTTCAGCCCACCTCCCCTCCTCCCTACCCTTTGCAGCCTCTCGTAACCATGTTTCTACTCTCTATCTTCATAATTTCAATTGTTTTGATTTTTAGATCCTACAAATAGCTGAGAACATGTGATGTTTGTCTTTCTGTACCTGGCTTACTTTACTTAATATAATGACCTCCCAGTAAGTTATATCCATATTGCTGCCAATGACAGAATTCCATTCTATTTTATGGCCAAGTAGTATTCCATTGTGTATATTTACCACATTTTCTTTACTCATTCATCCACTAATGAACGAAGGCTCATTCCACATCCTGGCTATTAGGAATAGTGCTGCAATAAATACAGGAGGACAGATATATCTTCAGTATACTAATTTCCATTATTTTGGAGGTATACCCATCAGTGGCATTGTTGGATCATATAGTAGTTCCATTTTTAGTATTTTAAGGAAACTTCATACTGTTTTCCATAGTGATTGTACTAATTTACATTCCCACCAATAGTGTACAAGAGTTCTGTTTCATCTATATCCTTGCCAGCAAGTGTTATTTTTTGTCTTTCTGATAATAGCCATTTAAACTGGGCTGAATGATATCTCATCGTGATTTTGATTGGCATTTTTTTATGATTAATGATGTTGAGCTTTTTTTATATGCCTGTTAGCCACTTGTATGTCTTTTTTGAGAAATGACTATCCAGATCTTTTGTTCATTTTTAAATTAGATTATTTGTTGTTGTGAGTTTGCGGGGAGTTTCGTTGATTGGTTGGTTTTTGCAATTGAGCTGTTAGAATTCCTAATATACTCTGGTTATTAATCTCGTGTCAGATGAATAGTTTGCAAATATTTTCTTCTATTCTGTGGGTTGTCTCTTCACTTTGTTGATTGTTTTCTTTGCTGTACAGAAGCTTTTTAGCTTCATGTAATCCCATTTGTCTATTTTTGCTTTTATTGCTTATGCTGTTGATGTCTTACCCAAAAATCATTGTCCAGACCAATGTCTATAGCATTTTCTCAATGATTTCTTTTAGGATTTTTTTATTTTTTGTAATTTCAAGTTTTATATTTAATTGTTCAATCCATTTTGCGTTGAGTTCTGTGTATGGTGAAAGACAGGGTCCTAGTTTCACTCTTCTGCATATGGATATTCAGTTTTCCAAGCACCACTTTTTAATGACACTGTTCTTACCCCAATGCATGCTGTATTAGTCCATTCTCATGCTGCTATGGAGAAATACCCGAGACCGGGTGATTTATAAAGAAAACAGGTTTAATTAACTCACCATTCCATATGACTGAGGAGGCCTCAAGAAACTTAAAGTCATGGCAGAAGGCACCTCTTCAAAGAGAGGCAGGAGAGAGAATCATTGCCAGCAGAGGAAATGCCAGATGCTAATAAACCATCATATCTGGTGCGATTCACTCATCATCAAGAGAACATCATGGGGAACCACCCTCATGATTCAGTTACCTCCACCTGGTCCCTCTCTGGACATGTAGGGGTTATGGAGATTACAATTCAAGGTGAGATTTGGGTGGGGACACAGAGCCAAACTCTATCATATGCACTTGGTACCTTTGACAAAAAGGAGTCGGCTGTAAGTGCATGGATTTATTTATGTATTATCTATTTTATTCCATTGGTCTATGTGTCCATTTATATGCCAGTAGCATGCTGTTTTGGTTACTATAGCTTTGTAGTATAATTTGAGGTCAGGTAGTCTGACGCCTCCAGTTGCAGTCTTTTTGCTTAAGATTTTTTAAGTTATTTGAGGTTTTTCCTTTTTGGTTCCATATGAGTTTTAGGATTGTTTATTCTATTTCTGTGAAGAATGCCATTGGTATTTTGATAGGGATTGCATTGAATCTGTAGATTGCTTTAGGTAGTATGGACACTTTAACAATATTGATTCTTCTAATCGTTGAGCATAGAATATCTTTCCATTTTTTCATGTCCTTTGCAATTTCCATCATTGGTGTTTTATAATATTCCTTGTCAAGATCTTTCACTTCTTTGGTCAAAGGTATTCCTACTTTTTTGTTAGTTATTGCAAATGGGATTGCTTTCTTGATTTTTTTAAATTAACTATTGTTACCATATAGAAATACTACTAATTTTTGTATGTTGATTCTCTGTCTGCAACTTTCCTGGATTTGTTAATCAGTTTTAAGAGTCTTTTAGTGGAGTAAAGGATGTTGCAAATATAAGATCATTTCTCTGCAAACAAGAATAATTTGAATTCTTCCTTTCTAATTTGACTGTCCTTCATTTTTCTCACCTAATTGCTCTGACTAGGACTTCCAGAACTATGTTGAACAGCAGTGGTGAGGCATCCTTATCTTGCTTCATATCTTACTGGAAAGGCTTTCCATTTTTCCCTGTTCATATGATATTAGCTGTGGGTTTGTCATATCTGGTCTTTATCGTTTGAGGTATATTTCTTCTATACCCAACTTATTGAGAAAGACTAACCTCTTTTTATTAAAGCACCAGTCACATTGGATGAGAGTCCATTCTAGTAACCTTAATTATGTCTTTAAACATCCTCTCTCCAAATACAGTCAAACTCTGAAGTACTAGGTGTTTCGACTTCAACAGACGAATTTTGCAGAGGCACAATTCAGCTCATTATGGTGGTCAACTAGACAATTAAGATGCATAGTGTGAGGTTTCTGAGAAAGAATGATGGTTATCCCCAGTAATTCCTGTGAAAGAGAGAGCTTGCTTCACTTTTGCAGGAGTCTCAGAAAATCTATTGTTGCTGATATTATCAGTGTTTAGGGGGTCAGGCGCCATTCTTGAAACATTTGTTATGGCCGGAGAGGTGAGATTAGACTGTCATTTTGGCCCATCCTTAAAAGTGGAGGAGAACTCCAAATCACATGGAGGAGAATAGGAAAGTAGTGGTTTTCCAAAAGAAATTTGGGATATTACTAGTAAGTGGCAGGAATACTAAACAATTCTAAATAAAACACATGTACTGCATTAACTCAACCTAAAAGGTGGCAAAATCCATCAAGCTATAAAAACAGAAAATCACTGTATTGCATTAACCATAATAATTATTGATTCAGACAAGAAAACCAAAGAGTATAGAAATGTTGGGGAACAAGATATTCATTGTGTCAATGTGTCACTTTGCAGGTTGCATATTAATTTCAGTGGAACAATGGAAAAGTCTGGAAGATACCAATTAACCAAAAAGATGTAACTTAGCAATCAGTGAGACACAGAAATCACAAGATCACCTAGATAATATTTCTGCAAAAAAGTTGCACTTGAATGTAATCATGAGGAAAAAAATCCAAAATGAGGGACATTTTTCAACATGACTACTCAAATGCTTTCAAAAATGCCAGTATCATAAAAATCATAAAAAGGGTGGTGAATTATGCTAGATTAAGGAGACTAATGAAACATGACAAATGAAATGTAATGTATGATTTTGGTTGGATCCTGAATCAAATAAGACAACAACAAAATGTTATAAAAGACATCGTTGAGACAATTGGAGAAATTTGCATATGAACTATACATAAGATAATAGAATTGTCAGTGTTAAATTTACATAGTATAATAATTGTATTTTGTTTATGGATGAGAATGTCCTTGTTGTTAGGCAACACATGCTGAAATATATCAGCGAGCATTTGAATGCTAAAAATCACATGTGTCCTAGTATTGGCTTACTTGTAGGAAGTGAAATAGATCTCATCAAAAATAATAAAGGCTTTGATGTTTATTTTCTTGAAATTTTCAGTCTTTTATGATGTCAAATAACTATTGATATTCCTTTGGTTCCTTGAACTTTTCTTCGTCTTTAAAATGAGAAGAATATAAAGTATGAAGAGTGTCACTGTTAAAAACTGCACTGCTTTTACAATACAGAGAAAGGAAAATTGGAAGAACCTGTTTGTAACCTTATCAAAAAAAACTCATTATTTCTTTATGCAAAAGGCAACTGTGGCAGTGAAGAAAATTGGGGCATACCATGAATATTTACCTAGAATATTGTTTAAATACTAAAGACCCAGCATTGTTTTTCACTGCCTGTCTCCTTTTTTAAATTTTTTCCCTCCCCACTAAAAAATGAAAACTATCTGGTTTCTTACGTCATTTTTTTTCTTTAAGCAATGATTATTGAGTGTCTTCTTTGTGATTTTATAAAAAAACAAAAAAATTCTTCCTGTAGGTAATTTGGGAAGTTTATAAAAAAACAAAAAAATTCTTCCTGTAGGTAATTTGGGAAGATTATTAATGGAAGGTGCGACAGACACCTTTAACCGAATAGTTTCCTCCTTTACAATGAAAATCTATACATTTATGATAATTTATAAGTACAAAGACTTGACATGTGTCTTGAAGGTGAAGAGGTTTTGGTTTTGAGCAATTTAATTAAAATAGAGACTCAAAACTATAGCTAAACTCCAGAATACACAGTGCCCACCCATGCTCACTTCTGGTTTTGTATTATGTGCCAGATAGGTAGCCTAAGTCACTAATGATGCTTACTTCTCATAGAATATTAGGAAATAACAAATGCATTTGTGACAAGTCTGTATTTACATGACAGCTTCATATTCAAAGAAGTTATGTAATTGACTTAGCTCTAAATGTTTCCAAGAGTTTCTAGTTCTTTTGCAGTAGCTCAACCAATTTGTATTCACTATTCCTTTCATGAATCTACATTTGCTTTTTTTCTTCCTAATATATAAAGAATTGACAGAAACTTATCCAGGCAATCACCATACACCCATCACTATTTATAAAGTCATATATTTGTTAATTCATTCAATGCTTAATGACAGTTGTTGTTTTGGTAATCTATAAAATATCACAAACCATATCACAACTTCGTGGCTTAAAACAAACACGACATTTCAGAGTTAATCTGGAAAATTCCTTTAAAGTTAACTGTAAAAGGTTGCATTTGTTTTAAGCCACAAAGCACTGAATCTGCCAGTGCTTTGATCTTGGACTTCCCAGCCTCCAGAACTGTGAGAATTAAATGTTTGTTGTTTATAAGCCACTGATTTTATGACATTTCATTATAGCAGCCTGAATGAATAGACTAAGACAGATATCCAAGTTAAGAAGATAATCTTTGTCCTTAAGGAGGTCCCAGCCTGCCAGAGAATAGAAAGGTGTAAACAAATATTGCAATTACAAACTAAAATAAAAAAGGTCCTATATTAGAGCTCCATCAAAGGTATACTGGGAGTACAAAGGAAAAAGTGGCTTGTTTATCCCAGCTCCCCCTTCCTAGCCTAATTCCAGGGCTGGGAATGGGCCTCATGAGGGACGTAACTTCAGTGGACTTCGCAGACAGTAGCAGATGGAAAGAGTAAAGAGCATTCCAGAAAAAGGAGGTGTGTGTGCACTTTGCTAATATTTCTATTATTGTGCTAGTTATTCTGGAAAGAACTTGTGTTGTTTATTCCAGAAAGACCCTAACCCATTTCAGTTATAAGAGTGAGTAGATGGAAACCCTCTGAGAATTTATTTATAATCTGCCATAATACCTGTAAAGAGCATTGAAAAAATATGCAATAATATTACTGAAATGTGTACTAAATAAATGTATAGTTATTAAAAAAAACACAACTTTTCATGATCTCTCACAATTCTGCAATATGAGCCCAGCTAAGCTAGGTAGTTCCTCTGTTCTATGTGGTATCAGCTGAGGATATAGTCATTGTTCTCGATGGGGCTGAAAAGTCCAAGATGACCTATTCACAAGGCTGGCAGACACAGCTAGTTATGGACTGAAATATCAGGTAGGGCTCTTGACTGAAGTGACTCCACTTAGTCTCTCACCTCCACTTAGTCTCTCCACACAGCTTGGGTACACAGCATGATGGATGCCTACAGTTTTTTAAGTCTTGATTTGGATGTTGCACAACGTCATTCTGTCACATTCTGTTAGTCAAAGCAAGTCACAAGGCTAGCCCAGATTCTAGGGAAATACAGAAACAAAAAGCATAGTATTTATTATTATTGTTATAGTATTTATTTACAATAGAATATGCAACAACAATAGCATACAGAGGAGAGAAGAGAGATACATGCAATTAAAGTGTCGTATGATGCCTTCATTATTGCTAGCTCAAGAAGGCTGAAGAATCAATGGCCTAAGCATCCATGTCATGAAGTTCCTAAAACCAGTAAATTATACCCAAAGTAAATAGAAAAAAAATAAAGAAAAGATAATAAAGAAATGAAAAACAAACTTAAAGTATATGATCAACAAAATAGAAGTTGGCTCATTGAAAAATTACAAAGTTAATAAATTTCTGAAGAGAATTATAGAAAAGATAGCATAAATAACCAAGAGTCAAAGTGGAAAATAGGGCAAGGCCATAGCTCTTAAAACCTTTACAAATATAATATTATAATATATTTCTGTCAATATATTTTAAAATTGAGATGTAGGGACAAATCCCTAGGAAAACATGACATACCATAATTGACCCCCAAGAAACAGAAAATCTGAATCGTCCTATCTATTGTAGGGTTTGAATATATTTTTTTAACATCTCCCACACTCACACAAATGCATGAGGCCTTTAGGTCCAGAAAGCTTATAAAACATATAAAGTATATAATAAAATAATGGCACCAATTGGTAAAAAGACCATTAGAGAATTTAAAAGTCCTTAATAGCTCCAATTTCATTTTACAAGACCATGATAACCTTGGCACAAAATCTGATAAGAACTCTATAATTAATTAGTTGGGCGTGGTGGCGGGCGCCTGTAGTCCCAGCTACTTGGGAAGCTGAGGCAGGAGAATGGCATGAACCTGGAAGGCAGAGCTTGTAGTGAGCCCAGATCACACCACTGCACTCCAGCCTGGGCGACAGAGTGAGACTCCATTTCAAAAAAAAAAAAAAAAAAGCACTCTATAATTTTTTTTTAAAAAAAAGGTTAATCTCATTTATTAATATAGATTCAAAAATACTACACAAAAGTATTAACACGCTGAATTTACATATATATCTCACATGACTCAATGTGTTAATGTGTGCATGTTAACACTAAAGATGTGTGTGTTGTTTATGTGTGTTTATATCATATTGCAAAAAAGTCTAATTCATGCCACCAATACAAGAATATAAGGTCAGTTTAACATCAAAAATCATCAGTGCATTTTACCACATTAACAAAATAAAGCAAAAAACTATATTTTCACATTAACAGAATAAACAGAAAATTATGCTTGAGTATTTTATAAATTTTAATATCAGTTCATGGGGGAAAAACCCTTAGAAAACTAGAGAAGGAAGGAAATTTACTTAATCTGATAAAAGATATCTGTTTTTCTAAAAGAAAGTACAGCAAACACTAATGGTGAAATGGCGAGAGCTTCCTTTCTGAGACTGAGTAAACACAAAGATGCCCACTATCAGCACTTTTATTTAACATTGTGCTGAAGTTTTCAAGTAGTGAAATTAGACTAAATGAATAAACGGTAAAGCGACTGGGAATGAAGATTTGCAATATTTGCAAATAATATGATGGTTTAAGTGGAATATCTAAAGGAATCCACAGAAAACCTGTTAGAATTAATGCATGAGTGTAGCAAGGCTCCAGGATAAAAGACCATTATCAAAAATCAATTGTATTCCAATATAACAACCAAAGAATTTGAAATAATATGTTGTAATTAAACCAGTTGCAGTAGCATCAAAAATATTAAATATCAGGCAATAAATCTAACAAATGTGGATACTTCCCACAAACCATAAAGTACCATTAAGAAAATCTAAAGACAAATTGAACAGAGAAATACATCATGTTCATGATTAGAAAATAATATTATAAATATATCAATTCTCACCAAATTGGACTATGAATTCAATTCAATCACAATCAAAATCTCAGCAGGGTATGTGCATGTGTGTGGAAATTGACAAATGAATCCTAAGATATCTTTGTAAATATAAGAAGCTAAAACCAGGTAAGTCAAAATTGAAAAAGAAGAAAAAAGAGTAAGTATTTTTGTACCAGACTTTGACTTATTTTTCAAGATACAGCGATAGAAACCGTGTGGAATTTGTGCAAGGTTAGCTAAATTAATAATGCAATAGAAAATATAGTCCAGAAACAGATCCATACATCCATGAACTCTTGAATTATGATAAAAGTGGTAGCAGAGAGTAATAGAAAAATACAGTCTTTTCTCTTTTTTGGTGTGTGGGGGGAGATGGAATCTTGTTTTGTCATGCAGGCTGGAGTGCAGTGGCGCAGTGTTGGCTCCCTGCAACCACTGCCTCCTGGGTTCAAGCGATTCTCTTGCCTCAGCCTCCCGAGTAGCTGGGATTACAGACGCGCCGCCACCATGCTCAGCTAATTTTTGTATTTTTAGTAGAGACGGGATTTCACCACGTTGGCCAAGCTGGTCTTGAACTCTTGACCTCTTGATCCACCCGCCTCAGCCTCCCAAAGCGCTGGGATTACAGGCGTGAACCACTGCGCCTGGCTGAAAAGTACAGCCTTTTCAGTAAGTCGTGCTGAGTCAGTGAGATATATATATATGGGGAAAAAAGAAACTTGACCCCAACTTCTGACTATATGCAAAAATCAATTTCAAGTGAATAGTAGAATTAAAAGTAAAAGATAAACAATAAAGCATCTAGAAGATAATAGCTTCATGATCTTGAGATGAGCAAAGATTCTTTTAAAATGACACAATAATCCCTATATTTAAAGAAAAACATT